AAAAAAAAAAAAAAAAAAAAAGACTCCATAGTTCTACTCCCCAGCTCAAGGCCACAAATCCTGGCACACCATAATCTTTAACAAAATTATATCAAACTATCCTTCCTCAAACAGTTTTGCCTCTGAGATTTACATTCTAATCTAACTTAATTTGAATTATTACAATGTCAGTATTGCAAAATTAGGAATCCTCGTCACGTTGTAATCCACAAAATCCCTGGATTTACAATGGTTTTATAGAAGTTAAAGGCTACATAATAACTCCATTTCCAAACAGGAAGAATAATAAGGCTCTAACCACTTGGCATAAAACCCAAATGAAATATCGAGATACACCTTCTCTCCTCCCCTGGTGCACAGAAAAGCCACCTGGAAAGTTATAATCACAGTATGTTCACAAATGGAAATAGTACAGTTATTCTACTTCAAAACTGGGGGGGGCGGGGACAACGACAAACAAACAAGAAAATACTAACCAATCTCTGACTGTAACGAATCCTTTCTTCTTCGGGTTCCATCTCTCACTCTTCTGTTGAAATTACTGTCAAGAAACCACTCCAGGGCTGCTTTCTTCTTCCTTAGGAACCAGACTGATTGCAACACTAAAGGATAATGAATGATATGAGCAGAGATAAGAACTCAAACTCAAGCTTTCCTTTCACCAGGGAAAAAGTGTTTAAAATATGTGTAAGTTAAAGGCTCTTTGAGAAATCTGGTTCCTCTTCATCAGTTTGGGACCTTTCTGCTCTTGGGCAATGTCATGACCAACATTAATCGCATTACAACAGTCCCAGGCCTAAACCAAAGGAGATGCTAGTTTCAGTTCCCCGTGGTGGAGCCACACCACTTGTTTCTCCCCACAGGATACAAATAGCAAGGATCCCCTTCATGGCAGCATTAGCAAATAAGTAAGTAAGTAAGTAAATAAATAAATAAATAAATAAATAATTGGGGGGGTGGGTCCTGACCAGGTGAGGAAGGCCCTGAGGTAATTCAGATCCTAACCAAATTAGATCTCTCACACTGGTAATTAGAAACTAAAGGAAAGGGCAGACTAACCATACAGTAAGAGGACAAGAAATTTGGATTTGAAGAGAGACTTCAAGACAATTTCCCATACCCCTCTAGAAGGCGACAATGGTCTCCCTTCCTTCCTAGACTCCCGGGATCTTTTCATTCCCAAACCAACCCTCCACCCCAACCCAAGATGTGTACAACTCTGAAACAAATTCGAGAGAGTTGCAAATCAGGGACAAAAATTCCACGAGATCCTTCTGGGTAAATTTTTAAAAAAATAAACGGTTCTACCTATAGATATAAGTAAAATACATATTTTCCAAAAATTAAATAAAGACAGCTTTGCGCGACGGATCCATAATCCCAAGAAAGGTTTTTCTTTTTTTCTAAATATTTTTATAGATAGTGGCTTCCATAGGAAATGCAGATTTGTTTCCCTTTTTTCTAACTACACTACCGCCACGTTAATAGCATCCTTTCAGAACTGCTACGAGACCAGAGGACCCCATGACACAGTTTTCAAGAACAGTTCGCGGCAGAGCCCTCCTGAAGGAAGCCCTCGCCGGCGAGGACCGCCCGGGCTTGAGAACAGCCAGGGCCGGAGAGCGAGAACCGCAAGTCGAGCCGGGCTCCCTCTGGGAACGGAGTTTCAATGGTTCGCCCATCGGAAAAAGAAATAGAAACTTTACATTAAGTCTTTAGATAACGCCGCGAACCAAACTTCCAAAGGGGGGGAGGGTAGAGGGGGAAATCTCACCGGGGATTTTGCTCCTGAGTTCTTGACCAAGTGAGAAGTAAAAGACTCCCAAAACTGAGAGGAAAAATTAAATCCCAAACGTCTTCGGGTTTTTCCGTGGATCAACCCAGTATCCAGAGAGGGTCAGAGCGACCCGGGAAAGAGGAAACAGTTGCTGAATCAAAATCTCCTCTTCTGGCTTTGGAGACCGGGAGTCGGAGGCGTCAGGAGAGGGGAGCGCGA